CAGTAACGCCACCGTAGATATTTTCCACAATCACTGGCTCTAGTGAACAGACATCGACTCCCCTCCAATCATGACAGCTTTTGAGGGGGGAACATGAAAACTGGTACACTGAAAGCAGCTGGGAAAAGCACTAACTTTAAAATGCCAACAAAGTTATTGTTTTAGCAAAAGTGCTGTAACTCAGCAATGAGTCTTTTCAGCAGACAGAAACCAGGAAATGTGAAAAAGGCCTATTGATGTGCTTAAGTGTGTCAACAGCTTTGCTACCTTTTTAGCTAAGATGGTTCATACCAACACATGGTTTGTGTAGGATTGTGTCAAGTTGAACTCAAACATTTTGCACTAAACTGAAACAACAAATTACCATGCATTATGTCATGTTACTGAACCTAGGTTAGCAGTTAGCTTATGCTAGCAAGTTAATGTTGTCTATAGCTGTGTCAAAATTCAGGGGCTACAACCTTCGAAGGCTGCGTAGACCCACGAAGGCTGAACTGAAATGAGACGGTCCGCTCTACAGCGGATTTCCTGTTTGCCGTACAGCTGTTCCTGCCCTTACCGCTGCATCATGCACACAATGAACCTCAGGATATGTTGGCTGGCGAATTAAAATGTTAGGCATTTTAAAGTAGTTTTCTGCTATTGTTAATAAACAGCTTTGCCCACTATAATCTTGGGGTTTGAAAAGTAAAATGCATCAGATTTCTGCTACTGAAACACATGAAAAACCACCAAACTCCTATTTGAAAATTCAAACTGCAGTGGTCTCTGCTGGCTCTTTCCATTCCACAACATACATAGGGGTCCAAAAGTCTGAGACCACATTGAAAAGATTTTTATTTTTTTTTTAATTTAAATGAACAGAACATTTTAGACTTTTGAATAATGAAACAAAGAAAAAGTTTCAACAAGTAAAATGAAGAAACATTCTGATTCTGCCTTATTTCTGGGTCACTGACCATGTTGAGGCCTTTGTACAATAAGTGAGCTTCACTGAAGCTTGTGTTCAGGCTCTCAGGTGGATTTGACCTACTCGTCAGAGGTTTTTGCACAAACCTGTGGAGTTGTCAGCTCAACTGCATGCTGTCATTAAAGCAAAAGAACATCGTATCAAATACTAAGTACAATAAACAACATACTGTAAATGTGTTCTTTCTTGAGAAATCAACATGGTGGGAGTTCATGTAATGTACCTCTTTCATGATGAAGTTTTAAGGTATTGCATATTTAAGGTTGAGATTGTTATAAAATTATGAGGCTTATTTCATATTTTTTCATATTTCATTTTTCATATTTCATTTTTTGACACTGACATATTCTGCTTTTTAAGAATTTGAGAAACAGAATCATTTTTGAGAACTGACAGTCATATCAGTAAGTAATGCACTATGTAACTGTAACTTCTGGAGTCAGTTTAATTTTGTATGTATAAAATTACAGTATTGTACAGAAGTCAGACAACATCCTTCATTTATTTCCAGTCAAAACAAAAATTTCCAGATTTACTTAACACAAAACTACTCAGAAGCATCGGTAACTAAATATAATTTAAAAATTTCAGTATATAGTGTGTCCACTCTTTGTCTTCATTACAGCTTTTATTCTTTTCAGGAGACTTCAGTTTTTTAAAGAAATCTGCAGGGATGTTCTTCCACACTTCCAAAGCTCAGTCTTAGAGGTTGGCAGTATTTTCTGCCAACACAATCAGTTACGTTAAGGTCTGGACTCATGTGGTCAGTACATTGTTCTGCCAACAGCAGAAGCTTCTTTGGTTTGGTTTGCTAACATTCTTCTTTTTGTCTATTTTCTTTTGTCAGTAATGGCTTGTTAACAGCTACACATTCAGACTCATAGTGTTGAGTCATTTTCTCACAGTGGAAGGATGGACAGAAACACCTGTGGATTTTTTCAGATCTGAACTAAGAATGGGGTTTGATTTTCTCCACAAAGATGAAAGCTTTGCGTACTGTTTATCTGATGGTGGCAGTTTTAGTGGTCCACCAGGTCATGGAGGAGTCACAACTCCACTTTTGAAAGCTCTTGTTTTTTCACTAATGTTCTCTTTCTTACACAAGTAGATTATCTTATATCTAATCTCCCTCCAAATATCTCCTCAACAATGAATAACTTGTACTTAATGGTCATTTTGGTTGGAAATTAAACAAATGATAGGGATGCATTGATACCGATACTGGTATCAGGTATTAGTCCGATAGTGCGCTCATTTACTCGTACCCGTAAAAAGTCACCGATATCAACATTCCAATATCAGCTGTGATGTAAGCCGAGTGTAGATGCCACGCTAAACAAACACAATGAAGGAGGCTCTGCTCAGAGACAGAAGAGTTACTGACACCGTGACAGTCGGACACAAAGCCATCGGTCACTTTAAACATTCTGCCTTGGCAGATTCCCATTCTGCTATCTGAACAAACTGCTCGCACTAACTAGGGTTATCATCATCGGCGGAAAACTGAAATCCACGCAGTCATGAAATCCCTGCATGTGGGTGGAAAACAAATCCGCTGGCAAATCTCCGTCACACCTTTAATAGCGATAATTTACCTGTGAAAATATGCATGTTACACAATCCTAGTCACTGTTTTTCTGCTGCATCTCTCTTATTTTTCCAAGTGCAGTAGAGACATTGGTCTGTTGCATGTAAGTGAGTCACCACACTGCTCTGCTGGTCTTTCGTGATAAGATCAAAGGCTTTTCCTCTGCTTAGCGCTGGACACAAACACTGGCCTGCGTTGCTGTGCTTCAAATCAAGTAGACATAGTTTAGATACTAGCCCAGTTGTCGGCCTTCACCTGACATTTATTTCTATAATCTATTAATCTGTCCACTCTCATTTGATTGATCGAGCCAGTATGTCACTGGTCAGTATGTCACTTTATCTGGTCACAGTGCCAAAGCAACTTCTTATTTTATAGTGCAACTAAACAAGAGAAGCCATATTGCCCCCTCCACATCCTGTCGTGCACTACAATCTGTCAGAATGAGGATGTTATCATATGAACATTATCATAGTTGTTAGTGTAGTGGTGCTCATACGCAGAAGTCATGTAACCAGCATGCACTTTTATGTGTTGCAATGTTTTCATTATATTAAATGCTCATGTTCTACCTTCACTAATAAAACTAATTTAATGCTTTCTATCTACCAGATAAATAATATACTGCATTAGACCCAAACAAAAAGTTTCAAGATCCATTACAGTCTTTCCCACAGAAATATACTTTTTGGGAGAATGCCAGGGTGGGTGCTGTTTTTCAAAAATGTCCAGAAATCTAAACTCATCAATTTAATTGGCTATTCAAATAAGGCATGTATGGCAGAGAGTTAAAAAAATAAATAATTTAACCAAAGAAATGTCGAAACATGAGCAGTTGATGTTGTGCCTCTTTGCATAATATGGGACATAATATATTTTTAGAACTGTTAAAAAATAAAAAGATAATCTGAAATACATTGGAAATAAAATGGGTTAAAATATACTTGGGTGGCTGTCAATATACTTGGGGCCAGGGGGGCCTAGCATGGGGAAACACCAAATGATATGTTCTTATTCTCTTATCTTTTTTGTTTAATTTCTTGGATGAGTTCAGTTTTCACATTTGATACACAAATGCATGCACTTCATGATATTTTCATCACATTATACTGATTCACAGTACACTGTATTAAGACTTTAGCCTATTAAAGAACATATGGGGAAATAGCGTGTGTTCACAGTGTGTGGATGGATGCACACATGCTGGGGTGGGGGTCCATAAGAAGGCACAGTATGACCACCTATCCAGACACCAATGCACCATTGATTCTAGAGTAGAAATTATAAAATGCTTTTGTTTTTGACTAAACAAAGTGATGACTTTTTATTCCAAAACTGACTACTAATCTTTTCAGTCCTGCCCGATTTATTACAGGACATGTGTTACTGCTTGGTAAAGTCAAAAAAAGGTCAGATTAAGCTGACTGCAATCTGACTGCAATCTGATGGACCTCCACATTTGTAACCGACCGTTCAGCATCAATCTGCATATGAATCACTGCTCACTGCATAGACAGGAGGATCTGCAGTAGTTGGGAATATGTGGAGAAGCAGAGGGCAGAAACTGCTGCAGTTCTATCTGAATGCCTGAGCATCTCAAAAAGCGCCTTCCTCCGCCTTACCGCCTCCTCTGTTGCCATGGAGACCCACCGTCACCACGCTCGCATGCTTCTTCTGGAGTCACACGTGTCTACGTCACATGACACACACATGCACCCCTCTGCTCTCTGTGATTGCTGGGGTCTAAAATTAAACCTCGAATGTGTGTGTATGTGTGAGAGAGAGAATAAGAGAGAGAAAAAGAGAGAAAGAAAGATACAGAAAGTGTGGTTTCAGTGATTTCCAAATAACCTGCATCAAACCCTATCCCTACAGGATAAAGACAGTTGTCATATTGGTTTTCTTGTAGATTTCAATGTGCTACATGTGGTTCATTATATGTATTTTGTATTGTTTTTATTTGTTTACTATTTGTATTTTGTATTGTCCATTTACATAAGCATCAATTCCACAAGACCAACACCTCATACATGCATGTGTAACTGGGCAATAAAGCGATTCTGATTTTAGAGCACAACTAATCTCGAGCAGAAGATGCTTGTGGACTTACAGTCTGATTATGAAGACTGCAGTAAAAGCACTGGGCTAAAGTCACTTGCTGTACTCCTTTGAGAGAAGATACAGACACAGAGGCACCTTCTCCAGAGTTTAGCCTCATGCCTTATGTAATCAGTGCCAACCATGCCAGATAGCATCACAATTCCACCATGTGTTACAGAGAGGAGAGAGAGAAGCAGAGAGAGTTAGAGAGAGAGAGAAAGAGAAATAGAGATATGGGAGCCTAACAGAAATAGAAATCAAAGAGTCAGTGGGACAACTTATTGTAATCAGGGTGTGGGCTGGTTTGCGGTGTGTTTCGTGGTTTATGTTTAGTGACGTTACCTCCAGGTCGTCCAGTGAGCGAGCCAGGCTGAGACGTTTAGAGCGTCCGAACGATCGTCTCCCAGTGGAGCGCTGGGGAAATCCCATAGTGACACCCCGAAATCTTCCGCCCTTAAACACACACAAATCCAGACACACAACACATAAACATAAGTCCTAAAACTCACACAAACACATTGGGCAATGGAGGAAAATCCTCCCTGTACATTTACAGCTAAACGTCCATTTAAAGCTAAATCATATCTGCACGAGTTTAGCATTCAGCAGGAGATACACTGCCACGCAAAAATTTAAACATCTGCTGTAAAATTACTTTTAATTTTTTTTAAGTGGAAATAAGGCATTTACATTGGCATTTCACATATTGTAGTGCTCACCGCTATTAAAGAAGGCACAGCTTGTGCTTTATTAAGGGGCTGTAGTTGGCCACAGCCATGCTGTATAGAAAGAGAATTTTGTCTAGCAATTCACTCTAAAGCCAGGCATACACTGTGAGATTTGACCCTGTTTTTAAGCCCGATTTGGTTGGAACGGAATGATTTTCTCGATCAGGCTGAATTTCAGCTTCATCGGCTATTGTTTGCCATGCAGTGCGAGAGAGGAAGCGACGACCAATTAACCACCTAAATGAGCTCCGAATGAAGAAGTCGGACAATCAGATGGACTTCTGACATGCCAGAAATTTTGGTTGCTTGTCTCACAGTTAGAGCAGATCTCACGAACCAATTTCTCAAAATTGCATACAAAACCACAAACAATGACAAACACTGCTCCCACACAGGTGAACATACATAAATGGAGGCACAAAAGTTGACCTTTGCGGTGCCAACACCCATATATGCCCATTTTGTTCCGCCTGACTAAATTGAATTTATTCACTCATTCATCTTCTACGCCGCTTATCCTCCTGAATCACGGGGGGGCGCAGGAAACACCCTGGACAGGTCGCCAGTCCATCACAGGGCTGAGCTAAAAATGAATTTTTTTAATTTGTCTTCCTAAAACTGTTTGTAGACCACCTGTTTTGTAGTTTCAGTGCACAGTGTGGTACAGGTTAAGCTGCTGTAGTGCGGTTTGTCAGTGGCTGAATCTGAAACGGCCCCCTCGTTCCTATATAGTGCGCTATATAAGCTCTGGCTTCTACACTAAAACAGCGACTATTTGTTTAGCATGGAATTGTGGACACATGTCTGAGACCCAAATGGCTATTTACTAGACATATGATGCACTGTTTGCGTGCAGGAGCCACTGTTTTAATTCCTATGTGGTGCACTATGTAGGAAGCAGGGAGTCATTTGAGATTCAGTGTTTTTGTGCAGCTTGTTGTTTTGAATGGAACAGCTTTATTGGAAATTGTGTGTAGACAGAGCTGTCTTTAGGGGCTGCATTTCACATGTAGTGTGAGCACCCACGTCATGTCATCTCAGTCAGACCGAGTGTTTTTGTACAGCGTGAGCATATAAATCTCAGGCTGTTTCCGTACATGATGAGCGATTCAACTGTACAGTGTGTGTTGTCACAGAAGAACAAGATTTCCTATATTAGGTATGCCTGGTTTAAGCCTTGCTGCATCTTGCTTGCTCTGCCATCAGCGTTAGACCGACTCTGGTCTAACGCAGGTTAGACCTTGTTAATCTAACAGTATACAGCCAGCATGCTAGCCCCACTATCACAATATAGAATAACCATATAGAATATAGAATAACCCGGCGATTAAATGCTGCAGAACTAATACTCCAAAATATATAGCACAAAAAAAGAATGTCTTGAAAAGCGCTGGACTAAAAAGCGCCCCTGGTGAATCCTGCATCTGTCAAATGTTTTAGAAAATGTATAATTTATATGTCAACTGATTTTTAGCCTTTGCTTTTTTTTCAAAAAATTGTGTTATTAATCAAAGTATAACACAAAAAATATTAAGCTCTGACAAAAGACAAATGACAGTAATAGAAACTGAAATGTAAATCTTTTATTTAATTAATGTGATTATACTCATTACATAATAATAATAATAATAATAATAATAATACTTCTAATAATAATACTTTATTAATACTAATAATAATTCTCTTCACAACTCTCCCATAATCATATATATATATTTTTTAATTCTTGTACAAATTTATGAAAACATTTTCCTACGGAAAAAAATCAGACCATCTAACACCGGAATGGTCCAGGGAAATAAGTTCTAGGAATACAGAGATCCAGACACAATTTCTAAATTAATTAGACCATGGCCGTTCAGTAAATGTGTCAAAGTTCATCATTTGATCAGGAGAGAAAATAAGGGTCAGGACATTTTACCCTGGGCGGCTTCTTCCCTCAAGATTCCATATTTACAAAAAAATTACATTCTACATTTAGTGAACTGTATAAAGAAGTAACTTACAGAAAAAGCTCACTTTCTCTTTTTTTTATTGATGTGTAGCTCAAAAACATGAACGTCTTAAACTCAGCATGTGGCTCCACAGTTCAGCTCCTCACTCTCATTACTAATAACCTCTGTTAGTTTCACAATAGCTACTGAATAATTTACAATACTGAATAATAAGCGTTTATAATTAGTAACTGAATAGTAAGCCTGTTGTTTGAGAGGTTAACACATGCAAGCCTGTTACACTGTCTTTACAGACTGAAATGATCCACCATGATGTGTTTTAGGCTAGACTGAAGGGAAATGACTGGAGTGACACTGTTCATGTGTAGATATGACCTGCAGCTCCTTTCTCTCCTTCTCTGTGTCTCGGTGTATGAAGCACACAGAGAAGCTCTTCTTTCTCAGCAATTAACTGTGTTCTTACACTCATCTAATTCCGTTACAAGGGGAGGCCGGAATGGTGCAGGGTCACATGGACGTGGGCTTCTGGGCTGCTGATGGAACAGAACGTCACCCTGTTTCTTTCAGGGCATAAGTGTGCGTATGTGTGTGTGTGTGTGTGTATGTGTGTGTGTGTATGTGTGTGTGCGTGTGTGGGTTACCGAGTATCTGAGAGGCTGCAGGCTCAAATACGACTCCACCTCCCTCCACCATTCAACTCTTGTCCAAAGCACTTAAACCCATCTTTCTGCAGGAGAGCTGTAACAATAACCCTGTCTTCACTGAACACTGACCACTGATCACCATCCACTGACCTATCTCAGAACAGCAGTGCTGATAACACAGGGACTGATCAGAGGCCTAATCATCAATACATACGCAGTTCTAAATATTATAAAACACACAAACCTCAGATTATGGTTCGACAGAATGTGTATATAATAACATTAATAACAACAACAAAACAACAGCAAATATATATAACATTACACAGATGCAGCTCTGATTGGACAGTGCTTTTTTTTAAAGGTTGAAAAGCTCCTACAACTATGCTGGAGCTGTAGCGGTCATAAACAAGGGGAAGAAGCTTATGTAAGAAGGAGGAGCTTATGCAGGGATGCTAAAACTGCAGTAATATGTGTAAAGCCATGTGTTTTTAAAATGACCAATGTAACATAATGTTGGACATACTGTACGTCATAAAACCACACACATAATATTCCATCCAACTGTGGTATAAATTTTAAGAGTGATGCGCTTCCATCAGCTCTGTACAAGAGATAAAACTCTAGATCATGTTTATAAAAACACTTCTGAAAGTATGCAGAGAGTACACTCACTCATTTTTAATACTGAGCAGCTTTTCTTTGCATTTTTATGGATATAATAGACATGAATGATTTGCAGTTATTTGCTATGGATTAATCTCCAGGCATTTGTTTGCCAAGAAGACCAACATAGCCTGATCGCTGAACGTAGAGTGCCAGACTGCCAGTTCACAAGGTCTGCATTATTAAGTTAAACTTCCCTATATAAAATTTAAGACATTGTTGACTAATCCAAGATATAATTTACAATGGCAGCAAATTATGCACTTTCAAACGTGACTTTGATATAAAAACATTTTATCTTTTTGCTCTAGGATGTAGGCTATTTTATATTGTAAGAGCATGGAGAAATAATGCAGTGGCAAATATAACTGCTCAGGGAATTCCAGCAGGAGGCACCTTCTTTTAATACCACCATTATCTTTGATAAAGGGATTTTTGTCATTTCTTTACTAGTCCACTGGTACCTGCTGCCCTCTGTCACATTACCTGGCTACTAGCTAAAAATGGAAACACCTGAACAGTCTAATATGACTTTATTTGCATTTGAAGTATTTATTTGGCAAATGTGTTTCTGTCATAATTTATCTCATTATCCACCTCAAGCGAGTGGACATACTTTTTATGTAAAGTCTGGCAAGTCTATTTAAACTTGGCTGTTGCCATCAAGTCTTTTTTTATTCCATATGCCAAAATACACATAAAAATATAATGGAAACTCAGCTACTAATACAGACAAACAGACAGACAGACAGACAGACAGACAAGTAGGAATATCTCCATAAGCTGGTGTTGAGAGGCTGGCTGATTTGAGCAGTGTAATCAGTCTCCTGTGTTGCCTGGATACGCAGAGAGCTCTCAGCCTGTGTCTTCAGCACCATCCCTGACTTTCAAATGCACACACACGCACACACACACAGCTACAAACACACACCAAAGGCTATTGTGTGTTTTCTGTAATCTATTTTTAAGCACACACTCCTTTCGCGTCTACCAAGAGAGCAGCTGAGTTCCATCAGCACTCTGTACAGAGCTGAGTGTGTGAACAAGAGAAGAATCAGTCAGCCTTTACTCTAACACGCGTGCTAACAAATATAACACAACCATGTCAAGCATGAGCATCCAACACATTCTTTGCCAACATAGTTAAGCATCACTAATCTCAGATCACCATTTGTGCTCAGGAGAAAACTCTATACTCTTGAATGTAATGCACTCATACTCAGATATCCAAACAGCTGGTATATAAATTAGCAGTGAGGAGAAAAGTATCTTGTTCACTAGTGATGTCCCAATCCAGTCTGAAAGATCAGTATCAGGACCAAAACATACTGTGATACTGATACTGATATTAAAACCTGTAGTATCGGTCAATACTGATTTGATATTTTTCCTCAGATACTATTCAGCTTTAAACCAACATAAAAACTCATGAGTAGTGAAAAAGGTGACAAGTTCAGAAA